ATGTTATTTTTTTAAGGAGAACTAACTGACATCATTCCTTGAAGTTTTTGAACAATTTTCTTCGCACAGAGAAGAAAAATCACAGCAGTTTTATGGCATTGCCGTTGAGTAGTTTTCCGTTTAAAAAATAAAGTATGACAGGAACTCTACGACGTCGCAAACCGAGTAATGCGATTGCCGACTTACACCGTCGATATGCATGGCGCGCTTAATAATCGTTACCTATGTTTCCCATGTAGACTACATTTTGCAATTCGGAACTATAAATTCTAACTCGGTTTAAAGACAACTTATGTGCCATTAGTTTCCCTATGCACATAAATGTTTTTCCAGAAGATCCAGAATACATATTTCCAAATTGCAAAATGCAGTCCATGCGTAGTAACGGGTCGGATGCGAAGCGCCATAATCGCATTGTTTTCGACAGTTTTATTTTTATCAGCTGTTTCTTTGACCGAATATCTCAATCGACTTGGTTCTGCGTCCGATCGGACTGGGACATCATATACTTGGGCAAAAGATCTGATGTGACCCTCATTTGCCTGAACGAGTGAGCGTTAGCAAAAGGAAGTTTCGCTTTATAACATTAGGGCACTCGTGAGAAATGCAAGCCCAAGGCGCGCGATACAACTTTTCACACTCTCGCGCTGCTTAAATTGCAGAGCTGCAAAATTGAAGGAGTTTTGCAAATTCTCACATTTGAAGGGCTTGGAGTACAAGGCGCATGAGTGCAGTTTTTTTAAAAAATCGAGATATCAATGGTTTCAAGCAAAACTGGTCTTAATGCAAATTCTGTGAAAAAATTGCATGGACTGTCGCGCTGGACGCAAGGACTCATAGTGCACGGAGAGGAATTTCAACACAAAAATTTGGTCAATACGTGAAGTAAAACACAAAATAACCCTAGCCTTCGGTTGACAATTTCAAGAGAAAATGCAAGCTAAATTTCATGAAGAAATTGAATAAAAAACGAGTGGTGAGTACCAAAGTCGCAATCAGAGGAATGCATTTTCCCAGCACCCTCATTCTTTCCTGCGCTAAATTCATCGCAAACCGTGCAAAAATCAACACAAAACTTGTGTTAGTTTGTGTTTCACTTCCTGCATTAACCAAAAGTAATACAGGAACAAACACATTTTTAGCAGTGTAAGACGAAGTCTGAGGCACATTTCACCAGGATTGGATTTCGTCTGTCGACTGATTCCCTTTAATCTTATCCAAGTGACAAAAAAAGCCCTCTTACCAGCTCCAACCTACGCTAACCAAGAGTGACGGCATGTTTTGGATCCTGAAGATCTCCAAAAGATCGAGCTGTCCTTACACAATTATTTATTTCCGCGTTTTTGGTCACTTTAAGTTACTTTTTCCCGTGCAGATCAACCCATGTGACCTGGTTGATCGACCAAATTTTTGGTCAAACGGACCAAAACTGCAGCTCACTATGAGATATTTAGTGGATATGAGATATCTCACAGTGGATCGAGTCACTAGGAGAAGTCAAACAAAATCTGGAAACTTTGAAAGCTTGTATTTTCGAAAATATACTGCAAATATGTTTAAGAGTGGTTTCATTGGTTTTTCCGTGGAATTTCCTCGAAGAAACACCCGATGAAATTGAATTTGTGACAAAATAAACGTCAAAATTTGAAATTTTAGCCGGAAGCTAGTTTCACGTCCGATCTTCTATTAGCTCGTTTCATTGTGCGCCGCACGGTGGATCGAGTCGACGGACAAAATTTGGAAACTTTCAAAGCTTATAACTCCGAAAAATTGAAATTTCTTCTTCTTCTTCTTCCTCTTCTTCTTCTTCTTCACTAGCGCTGCAGCCAGATGTGAGCCTTGGCCTCCACAACAATCCCCCGCCACTGCACTCTGTCAAGTATTCTGGTTCTTCAGCGCCTTACTCTCATTGCTCTAATGTCCTTCTCTGCATCCTCGATCCATCTCACTCGTGGCCTCCCTCTTTTTCGGCTCAGTGCGCAAAAGTCGAAACTCAGAACTTCTAAAAATGGCTCCATTGTTTTTCTGGTGAAATTTTCTTCTTGAAGCACCCCTCAAAATTTAAAATATGACGAACTGAACATAAAAATGTACCATTTTCGTGAAAAAATTCGTGTGCGAGCTCCCCGATCGACCCGATTCACTGTGCGTCGTGTCCAAAAAGCATGGCCGTGATAGCCAAGAGAGCCGTAAGTGCAAAATGAAGTTTTGAGAAAACGGGCTCAGAAGCTTCTGACAAGAACATTTTAACTGAAAGAAGCCTCCGTTTTTTGTCAAATTGCCACTAATCGTCCGGAAGACTCCTAGAAATCGTATGGATGATTAAAAATCGACTGTTTTGATTTCCATTATACATAAAAAGGGTATTTTTCATTTTCACGCTAGGTTATTGTTAGGCAAGACAGCCGTAAGTGCTATCTTCTGCATGCTTTCGTGGTTGCGTTTTGGACGCACAACAAACACATTTGCAGGTTAGAAATTGGCAGAAGAGGGCGGCACTTTACTGGAAAGCACTGTTTTCATTGGCTCTCATGCACCTGCGGCTGTCTTGAAAAAAACTATGTCATTTTTTGTGCACTTACGGCTTTCTCATACGGCTTGTTTTCATTAAATTAGGATGAATTTTCCTGTTTTAGCTGTCTCAGTATTTTCATCTAAAAGAGTTTAGACGAATTTTGAAGAAAACTCGATTTCGAAAATTTTGCACTTATGGCTCTCTTCGCTATGACGGTGAGGAGTGGAGACAGGGGCGGATCCAGCAATTTGGCAACAACGGATTCCTTCCATTTAAACCTATGTTAAATAATCGATTCTTGTCGGGGCACCTGGCCCCTCTAAGAATCTATACTTTTCCATAGGTTTTAATGGAGAAAAACAGTGTTGCCAAATTTCTGGATCCGCCTATGAGTGGAGACTCCTCGGAGCCGCGACTTTCACCGGGGAAGGGACGCCGCGATGCGACGCGAAGGGGTAACGGGCGACGCGTGCTGGATGAGAGCGCACAACAGTTTTCCGCGTCGAGAACCCGAGCTCTCGCTGTGACGCTCGGCGAAGGTGCAAATAATTAATCCAATTGGAATTTGAGGCAAGTTGGTCGTCACGGTTCCTCTAAGCCCAGGCGGACGCTATGCCCGGCGTCTGGTCATGGTTACGGTCCGCGGTCGCCATCGCCAGTCGCCACGCTGCAATTTGAGTAATTAGACTGACGCAATAAGAACTGTGGAACTGGTGCTGAGTCACTTCACTACACCAGTTCCGCGCCAGGGCTCAAAATCCACCGCCATTGCGCCCTCCGCTATGGGGAAATTTTGCTCCGTCGCGTCTTTCGCTCAGAGATCCAAAATGAAACATTACGCAATGAAATTCGATTTTGCTGAAAAGTGAGACTCCATTTTCCATGAAATTTCAACGATTTTTCAGGGGCTGAGCGTGCAACTCGCAACAATTGAGGACTTGCTTGGTGAAATGATGAATGAGGCTTGCAATGCTGGTCATAGCATTTGCCGCGAATGAAATTCATTTACAGTCGACTTACTTCTACACGATAATGAAAGAATATTCAAGGCAGATTTGGGAGAAATTAATAGCAGAGTTTTTGGATAGGTTACTTATTGTAATTATAGAATTATATTGTACAACTCTAGCAACATTGGAAGCCTCCCAAATCCTTTTACATAAGAAGTCCTCAATTATTCGAGACTTCGATTCCCTAAAATTTCAAAATTAAGAGTTCACTGTTTCTATGCGTTTCATGCACACCCACTGAGTCCATCGCAGAAGCTTTAGACAATTCCATTTTTTTCATTTGCTGCTATTACTACTACTACTACTACTACTACTACTACTACTACTACTACTACTACTACTACTACTACTACTAACACTACTACTACTACTACTACTACTACTACTACCACTACTACTACTACTATTACTACTACTACCACCACCTCGTTGAGACTATCACATTCAGAAAACTGGTGACGACTCTGAAAAGAATGAATTTGTTGAATTCTTGAAAAGATCATTACGTACCACCTACTGCACTCGTTGCCATGGAGCCTAGTCGCACGGGAGGTCAAGATTAAGAATATTTTTAGTGCTCAGCTTGGCGAGTGGTTTTAGTTCCGAAGAAAACATTAAACTATTGTTTTGTTTTCACTCCGCCCCTGGAATATTCTAGAATAACATGTGCTGCAGTGTTTCAGTGGCCCAGGAACAGAATTAACAAAAACAATATTAGCACCAACTTCTGTTTTAGCTCTTTTTCATTCTTCAACTTCAGTAACAGCTGGCATTTGTTTTATGATGCGGATTTAGATTGAATCAAGATTAAAATATACAGAAATAAATAAATTTATTTTTACAGTTAGAATGATGACCCTATACTTAATAGCTAATATAAATCCAGAAAAAAAAATTATCTCTAATTTCTATACTTAGTATTTTATATGATTAAAATTATTTGCTGAAAGAAGTATTTCAGTTTTCTTATTATTACGAAATTATTTAATCCCTAATATTAATTTTTTTTTAAAATTAAAATCCCTTTAATTTTGTTTTCCTCTTTTTTTAATAGTAATTTTTCTGAGAGTCTCTCATGTGTTTCTTGTGATAATATTTTTACGGGTGTTTGCCGTTGCCCATCGTCAATGTGACAGAGGAATGTCTCATTTCGTCAGCGATTTTTAAATCGGATATTGTTCAATGCTTTTCATGACAAGCCATGAAGCGTATTTTCAAACGTAGGGATAAGGCTTTTTCGGCGCGCTTGGGGGCTCTGCGACGCCTACCCGCCACAGGAATCTGTCATGGTAAGAGATCCTCCGGAAGCTGGTATCTCTCCATCTCTTCACCAGTGGCGTGGCGTGAATAATCGATTATCGATATCTCGCCATTTGAAGCTATGGTAAAGAATCGAATACTAAGGTGTTCGCTGCGAACACCCTGATAATCGATCTTTTTTCATAGGTTTAAATGGCATAAAAATCGATATATCGCAATTCACGCCACGCCACTGCTCTTCACGGCAAACAAATACTCTTCCTAAAATTTATCTCGCTGAAGATTTGCGTTTGCGATTTTTTCTTCTCAATGCTTCTCACTGGTTTCCCCCCCTTTTTTTCTAACTTTTTAGCTTACAGATACCTTAGGAGCCGTTTCTCAAGCTCTACCTACTGTGCTTTGGAGGTGAATAATCTCCCTGGCCGCCGCGGCGGCGGGGGCGGCGGGGACGGCGGGGGCGGCGAATCCCTCCGACGATTTTGTTTCTCTTCCTCCTCCCGAAACAATCTCAAATAATGATTGACCCTCTCGCCTACTTCCATGTAATCCGCTGAGAGCGGGGTGCCCGGAGTGCCCGGTCTCGCAAGCACGGGTCCGGGAGCTGAGTACGAAAGAGGGGCCGCGGGGATCTCTTGGCGCGGGCCATCGCCCGGGTTGCCCGCATGGCTTGGGCACAGCATTTCCATAAAAACAGCCCTTGATTTGGCATGAGCCTCTGCATCTGTCTCCCCAGGAGTTTGTGCAAAGTGCTCCAAGGCCATCCTTTTCCACCTATTTGTTACCACGTTATTAGATACTGGTGATTCCGGTGTGACAGCATCGGGAGGCGGTCCGTGGTAATCCGTGGGTATCTGCGCCGCTGGTCCTCTCGGCGGTGAGGCAGGTTTCCAATTCCGAGGTGGTGACGATGATGCCCGCGGAGGTGATGCCCGCGGCCTCCTGGTGGGGGATCCGGACCTCGACCGCCTGGGTGATTTATTTGGCGATTGATTGCCACCATGGTGCTCCGAGTTGTATTGTTGTAACCTGGAGTGCAAAAACCAGAAATAAAATCCAAAAGGATAATGTTCAAATGAAACAAGCGGGAAGGTTCTAATACTGATGTCGTATTAGAAAAGCGCTCAGGTGTTAGTAAATGTATTTAATGAAGAAAGGACGTATAAACTCCGTCGACTTGGCTGGGAAATGGAAATAAAACATCAGCTGATAGCAAACAAAGGTTGCCAAGGAAACCGTAAACGCGTATTTTTGTTTCCCGAAAATGAGCTCACCGTTGAGCTCATCAGGCGCGTTTTTTTTAGGCTTCATTTGAGTTCAACGATCAATTTCGATAAGAATTACTCTACCGCTAAGAAATTTTCTTAGAGACAAACGATCGAAACTACCTGCGCATTACGTTAAAAGCATAAAATACAGTTTTCACAGCTTTATTTATTTTACAAATGGACCCCCCCCCCC